GTCAGAGCTGCTCTGTGGGATGGGCCACAGTGGTGGTGTCAGTGAGGCCTCCCTTCCCTTGTGAACTGGGAGGTTTCAGTGGCGCTCTTCCTGGGGACAAACTCCGTCCTACCCAGCAGTAATGCAGCGCCTCTCTTCATGTCAGCAGGGTCTAAGCACACAACCTGGATCTCCGCTGAGGGTCTGCAGTGATAAGGCATGCTCCTTTCTCTGACGAGCACCATCAACAAAAATTTATCCCTAAACTTCCACATTTGGCAAAAGACAGGTTCACAGATTGGAGGCAACTTCAGGTAGAACGAACTTGGGCAATTTCATACCAAGGTATACCATACTTCAATTTCTGAGACATCATTTGAAAGCAGCCAGAGAGGAGCTGATCCTTGACTGTAGGAGGAAAGCAGCTGGGTGGCAGATTTCCCATCAGAAACCACAGAAGCCAGGGAGAAGCAGTCCTGCGGTGTCCAAGTTCTAGAGAGAAGCGAGTGAATCCAGGGCCCGGCATCCCGTAGCATCACATCCTTCAAGACTGAAGGAAAAGCAAGATATGCTCAGATGTAGGGAAATCGCCGAGCAAAAGGACAGGAGGATGCCTGCCTGGGCTGCCAGCACTTGGGAGGCAGAGGCAGGAGGAAGACTCAGAAGATATATCTACAGATACTCTTTAAACAGAAGGGAGTAGAAAATGAGAAGGCTTGCAAGACTGAGAATGAAAAATACAGTAATCCAAAGTTCCAGCAAGTGCAAATGACCTTCCTTCAAGTCTTCCAGTTTGTGCTTGAAGATTGGCGCATAGCATACGGCTTCCTAACTCTACCCCCAAACTACAGTGAGAAGAGATCTATGTAATACAGAAGGAGAAAGAGATGATAAGGTAGATAGATTTTCTATACTTTAGGAAACTTTAAATTGTGGCATGTATATGTGATGTAAAGCCTAAGAAATTGATGGTTTAAAATATTTTATTAGGTGATATATTCAAGAACAATATGGATAAAATTAATGGAATTCCCTGAAGTGTTCACATAACATTTTAAAAAGCAGAATAATGAAAACAGAACAAATACAAAAAAAATAAAATGTCAGATAATATCGATTATATTTGCAATTTTGTTGTATGTTAATGATATGACTATGTACATGTATGTCAACTAAAAGATGGAATGGAATATAATATGTGGATCTCTAGGTTGTGTGTAGTGGCACACACCTTTAATCTACACAGTAGGAAGGCAGAGGCAGTTGGATCGCTGTGAGTTCAAGGTCATCCAGACGGTAGATTGAAATGGTGTCTAAAGAAAAATAAAAGGCTGAATGAAATGCGAAAACATGCCTATGTAGAGAGATACAAATCCATGTAAGCTGCCCCCAGGAATTCACCACACATACAAGGCTGGGGAAGGGAAAAGGGCAGAAGACAGAGCATTCACTCAGACATTGCTCAAAGAAAGCACACGTGGCTGGCTAATATCAGAGAAGGTGGACCCTTTATCTTTTAACATATTTCCTATTGATTCTTTGGGAATTTCACATCATACACACGATTCACACTTATTTCCCAGTCCCTCCATATCTGCCCTTCACCCTTGCAGCTCCCCTCCCATCAAAAGAAAATAAAAATAGTAATTAAAAAGAAAGTGCACAAAAAATACTTCTTTCCATCTTTCCTGCTGCTCTACCACCTCTTCTTCTGCCTTAGTGGCACTGGGAGCTGCGGTGTGTCACACAGTATGCCCTTTTGTCCAAATAGCTTTACTTGCAAATGTTCATTGCAAAGAGCTGTTGGTCTGGCTGAAGGCCTCTGGCTGCTGGTACACCATCAATCCTGGACCCTCACTGAAACTCCTCTCTGGTACCTTCTATTGCCTAGAGTCGTGGAGATCTTGCAGCTATGGTTCTGCGGGACCTGTCCCAGCAGCTCATAGATGAGTAAGACTGTTGGTGATTTTTCACCTAGTAGTATATAAAGAACCTTCCAGCACTATGAATGGTAGCTGGAAGGAATGAAGCATCTGGTAGGTACCATCTTGATGTCTCCATAGTCTATGACTCAACTGGGTAGTACCTCCATAAAGTTCTAGAGGGTGGCCAAGACCAATGGAAATAATCTGTAATGTTGGGGGGAATGCCTATCACATCCCACTAACCTACAACCCAAAAAGAGGCAATCTATACTCAACACTGGGCTTTTATTTTGACAGCCTTATAATGTCTGAATGAGGTACTGCCTTCCTATTTCAGGCTGATTCTATTTAAACTTTTTATACATGCTTATGCATATATTTTAGGAAGGGTCTAAAGTAATAGTTTTCTATTTAACATTTTCAAAGGTCTCAGTATTAGATCCTGCTCTATACTTCTATCCTGGCCTTCCAGTCCCCACACCACTCAGCCCCTCCTGCTCCATTATCACCCACTTTCCTCTCCAGACCATCTGCTTTCTCTCCCCCTTCTGCTGAAATCTCTACCCTTACGAGATTTCTCTCTTCTATGGGTTCTCCAGTTTAAACATAACCTAAAATTTAAACACATCTAAAGATTCAAAGAGAGCACCTATATGTGAGAAAGAACGCGTGTTTGCCATTCTCACTCGGAGTAACATCACTCAGAACAATTATTTACAGCTCCATTCATTCCCCTTTAAACTATCATAATGACCAGCCTGGCAAGAAACATCTAAGGAGCAATAGTGGCATGAATGTTATAGGGGTAACTAACTACTTTCTAATTAGTTAAAGCCCACACCCAAGACAGAACTCATGCCTACTAGCCGATTCATGGGTCTGAGTACCTACCTGTTGCTAGGTATAGGCCATAGTCCCTAGGGAAGAACCTACTATTATGTAGTGCAAATTCCAATTGGCCTTAATAATAAGAACCTGGAGTCAGATATTGGGATTAATGCTGAAAGATCAGAGAAGCAGTGTGGCCTGCCACTGTTCTTATCTCTACTGAATTCTCACACCAAAGGGGTGATCTTGTCTCTACAAACCCTCAGACTGAATACCTTGCATTCCTGTCTCCTCGCCCTCCCACAATTCCCCTATTTTCCTCTCTCTGCCCAGCCATAGTCCTTCCTGTCTCTGCCTCCCCAGTGCTAGGATTAAAGGCCTGTGACTCCCAAGTACTGGGATAAAAGGTATGAGCTGCCACTGCCTGGCTCTGATTCTCTTTTAGACTAGATCAAGCACGTGTAGTCCAGGGTGGCCTTGAACTCACAGAGATCCATCTGCCTCTGCCTCTGCCTTTACCTCCAGAGTGCTGCGGTTAAAGTGTGTGCCACACTACCTGGCCTCTATGGCTTACTAGTGGCTAGCTACACACTCTGATCTTCAAGCAAGCTTTATTTGTTAAAGCACGAACAAAATATCACCACACTGCTCTTACTCTATTAAATGGACATAAGGTTATACCAAGCTCTAACGACTTTAATATCTATACTTACATCTATTTCTCCTTAAACTGTCATCGGAGAAGCTTCTTGCAAAAAGTGCTGATTAACACAGAGACCCACAATTGGCCAAGGTGCAGAGAATAAGAGACAGCAGAGTGCTCGCCTTTGACCTCTCTATTACTTGCCCTCCCCTCATGCCTCATGGATGATTGTGGGAGAGAGGGTGGAGATGCTGCAAAAGGCCAAGGAGGTGGATGACTACAAGGAGACCGTGTTTACTGGACACATCAGGGCACTTGTGCATTTGCATTCACAGCAATTGCTACAGCATGCATAAGACCTTGCAAGAATAAGCCAGAGAAACACTGCCTTATGGGGAGTGGAGGTGAGCATGAAATCTCACCCATAGCTAAGTAGCTACTGACAATTGGTAGCTGCGAGCAGAGAGAGAGAGAGAGAGAGAGAGTGTTTTCCTTAAAAGTGTGTCCCCTGGTGGGTTAACCATGCCCTAGTGGAAGGCTGTATGTTTAAGATTAAACATGCAACACAGATCGGTCTTATTAGGTTTATTTTACAAAATGATACAAAATTGGGGGGAGGCAGTGTAGGGGGAGGGGATCTGGGAAGAGAGGGGCTGGGGAAGGAGCTGAATATAAATACATTAAATATAAATAAATTAAAATACATTGTACAAAATTCTCAAAAAAAAAAAAAAACAATAAAAGCACACTCCTTTAATCACTGCATTTGAGAGGCAGAGACAGGCGGACCTCTGTGAGTTCAAGGCCATCCTGGTCTACAAAGAGAGTTCCGGGACAGTCAGAGTTGTTACACAGAGAAACCTTGTCTCAAAAAACCAAAATAAATAAATAAACAGATAAATAAATAAATAAATAAAAATAAGAAAAAAACCTCTCCAAATCATACAGTATGAAATCAATGACATCGATAAAGACATCCCACCAAAGATTACACACGGCTGGCAAATAAGTGTGAGAAGAGATTTCAGTGTATCCATGAGTGGGAACCCAAGGTAAAAATGGGAAGTATCGTATCTCTACATTCTCCATCAGAGTACCAAAACAACAGCAACAACAACAGCGGTGACAACACCAAGTGCTAGCAAAGTCTGCAGAGAAACTGGCTCCCCCGACCGACACCTTCCATGGTTGGTGAGAAAACAAAACAGCGCCATTTCTTTGGAAAGTAGTTTGGCGGTGTCTTTAAAAAAAAAAAAAAAAAAA